ATGCCGCTTATTTTGTGTAAAAAAAATGCCATACAAAGTTGCTTATTAAATTCCTTTCATTGGAATTCATATTTGTCACTGTTACGCCACACTGCAAAAGCAGGAGCAGTTATTAATTTTCATTCTTAGTAGTTATCAAAATGTGATTCACTTTTTAAAGTTTATTACTTAAAGATGAAAGGGTTCTTTTTCTCCATTTTATCCTTGTTCTTTTTTTAAAAAAAGAATAATTTTTACAATAGAGACATTTTTGTGTAATTTCAGTGCAGCAAAACGTGTTTTTGTACTGATGAATGTCGAATAGTCTAAAAACCTTCACTTTGACATCTTTTCAGGTGATAATTTTGATAATCCTGAACTGACCCAAGTCTCAGAAGTGTTCAGAGATATAGAAGTGACAATGTGCAGAAGGCTCCTCCAAAGCTAGTGGAGTAGCGTTCTTATACTCAGAAAGATAGCAGAAACAGTAATAATAGTGAAGCAGAGCAACAACAGGGCCCTCCGGTGATCAATAAAGAGATCCGGTGGACCTCTTTATAGAAAAGGAGGTTTTGGAAATGATCAGCTAGGCCAAAGTTGTCTTGCCTGTAAGACAAAAGGTCAAAAATTGTTCTCTGTCATTTTAGAGTGCAAGACATGGAACCTAAATCACAATAAGACAGATTCCAAATGTAATGCCAGAAAAAAGAAATTAACCATAAAAGCAGGGGTTAGACAGCCATCTGTCAAGAATGTCCTCTGAGCAGCTGTTGGAGTTTTGACCTTAAAGGACCTTTCCAATTCTATAAAAATACATTTAGCCTAGACACAATTTAGACATGGTCCAATGCGGATTTTTTTTAGTTAATATGATGTTTGCATTTTCAGCTTAATTAAATACTTGATGCATGATTGGTTTATTATCGTTGAAAATATTCCTTAGGTTTCTTTAAAAGAAATTTATTCTACTGAAGGATGTCCAAGTCCAGCAGATGGCAAAAACCTAGGATAACTTTCAAACCACCAACTAATATCTTCAGGTGTTCAAGTTGTTGAAACCATCTTTTAAGTAGTTTATTTAATCTAATGCCTCTGTTTTTGAATAATACTCTTCTGTAATAATTTTTACTAATTCCATTTACAGTTGCTATTTTAAATTGGCCTAATTTTTACTGGAAAACCATGTTAAATCTTCTGCAATAGAATACAGATTAACATATGCTCACATTCAATTCTGGAAGAGGTTGCTACTAGAAAGCCTTTTGAAATAATTCCCCTACTTATCCACAATAACTGGCCCTAGGAAGGCATCACTAGAGACAAACTATTTGCATGCAATCTCAAATCACCTCGAGTAACAAAATGTGGGGTGAGATATCTACTGCATATTAGTTTCGCATGGATAGCAAGTGTATACACACTTACCAGCTAATGTAAGTGACTACTGCTTGTCTTCAGATGGTCACATAAAAAGGTCCTTATACAGAAGCTCTTAAAGGTTTTTTTTAGCATAGTATACAACATATTTTGAATCAATTAAGAAAACCTGAGTTGTCACATTAGAGGGTTAATAATGACCTGCTAAGCAATTAATTTCCATTCAAGGCATTCTAGAAGTGCTTTAGGCAGTGGTATATCAAGTAGTGGTGATAATATCTGCATCAACTGCAGACCCAAAAGAGCCAATGGTGGGAGTCACGTTGCTAGTGCCTGTGCCTTCAAGGTAGTTTTGAATCCTGGCAACCACCAGGTCCATCTTCCTAGAACTAAGAAAAACAACTGACCTAAGATCATCCAATTGGCTGAGTGACTACAATGGAACAAGAACTGTGAACTTCCTGTTTCTAGTCCGAGGCCTTAACCATTATAGCAAACAGTCTATTAGTAATGAACTGGTATGGATATTTAAAAATATTCACAAAGGATGTCAAATGTGCTAGATATGCCACTGGCTTTAGGAGACATCCATCCTTTTCACAATCCATATTTTATTTCACATTACTGAAAAATATTTGCTCCTAATTGTGACTTGTTTTTTTAATAAGATCCCTGAAAGCTATTAGAGACTGGCCAAGAGGCAACCCCACACAGTAGATGAGATTTTAAAGATAAAACAAAAAAGTTTGCTCATAATTTGCACAATGCGGTACAGATAAATTTCAAATGTGTCAAATATAAAAATACACAAATTTTCCATTCTTTTCTGTCTGGTTCTTTCTTTGCTATAATTTAAAAAATAAATGGTTAAACTACCATCATTAAAATTTAATTTTATAACTTTGCAGAATGTACAACATTGTTGCTTATTTTCCAAAGTAGGCAATTAGTTGCTTTTATAAACACAGGAGAATGATGCCAATATTCCAAATGAATGAGTAACTACTATGCCTGTTTACTGCTCCACCACATGGTATATACCAGCTGCAAGGGAGCAACAGTGACAGAGGGCTATTGCTTCATGCTCAAGTTGCTAAGCTTCCTGAATTCCTATAATTGGCCATTGTCCAATACAGAATATTGGCCTAGATTGGTCCAGTGAGACTCTTTTTAAGTTCTTCTATACTAGATAAATATGTAAATTGGATTGGTAACAGCTGAAGCTATCAGCTAGCACCTTCTGATCAGCAGTATTACTAAGGAAATACAAGTGAAGGAATATAAATGCATTCTGACTAGCATGCCAAATGTGTAAGTTGATGGAGAGAGCTTGATTTTTCACAGTCTATAGAACAACTGCCAATTGTTCCTATTTTTCAGTTCTGAGGGAATGTTTTCCTTGTGAAGAATTAAGCAACCTGGTAGTCTGCAGATTTTTTGGGGCCTCAATTTCCGTCAACCTCAGCCAGCATTGCTAATGTGAAGGAACTGTAAAAACTTTTATTAAAAACATCTGGAAGTCCAAAAAGTGTCTGCTTCTGCAATCATAAAATTATTGCTATTTTTTCTAAGATTTCTAGCCAGAATTAGATCTGTTCATTTCAGATACAGATTAAAATAAGGATGGGCAACCTGAAACATCCTTTTCATAGTCCACAAAAGACCCAAGACTATGCTATAGAACCAATCTGCCAAATAACTGTAATACGTTCTTCCATTCAAAGGAATAAATTGGTACATTAAGCCTTCAATGGCCTTTTTTCAACTACTTAAAACAACCTGACTCCACTTTCAAAACAAAACTCTTCCAATATGGTCCAGGAAGCATTCACTAGTTATCTTGATCCTACCAATTAGTACTAGAAATAAGTTGTTTTCTATTTTGGTCAGCCCACCTGAAGTTTTCCAGATGTTCTGGCCTGCAATTCCCATCCCATCCCCAGCTGAAAATGATGGAAGATGTAATCTAAGCCATCTGGAAAATGTCAGGTTAGGGAAGATTATCATAAATCAAAGGTTTAGCTCTGTAGGAATAATTTTCCAGCATGTAAATTTATCTGCCCTGTAGTGAATGGGCATGATGCACTGTCATGCTACTTTGAAGAGTTAAGAATCCCAATTTTCCATTGTAATATGCAGACTACTTCTTATACTACAAATCCCAGTAACTTTCTTCAAAAAATATCAATGTGATGAACTTGATATATTATATCAAAACTAGCAAACAACAAAATGTCAGCTTAATACATAGATCAGGTTTGAATCTGGAGGTAAGCTTGAAAACAGAGAGTGAGATTGATTTATGCAGTGATTAAGTGATGGACCCAAATTCACAGAGAACTATTAAGACTTTATAATAGTAATATGTACTATTCCTGTTCTGAATTAGAAATAAAACTAATTGAACATTGTGTAACACAACTCCACCATTGACAGAATGGACTGGTGCAAGTTTATTTCTCTCCTAAGGCCACCATGTTCTCAAACTATACACCACAGAATTCTTAAGTTTATGAAAACAATATTGTCCCATAGGTGAATATTGAACTTATGTAAGTGCTGCCTGCACAATGCCATGGGGCTTGTGCGCAGCTTGGAAAACTGAGCGAAGCCATTTTTGCAGTGTTTTTTTTAGGAAGCAAACAGCCTTTCAGTGGCCAGAACTTGAACCTTCTTGCTTCATAAAGAAACCAATTTCCTGGAGAAATGGGAAACTATTGAGATTTAAATACAAAATCACAAATTGGGAGCATGTAAGAATGTATAATTATATAAATATAATGATGAGAATAGCTGGGAATTGTAACCAGGTCTATATCTCAGCCAAAAATAAGTGGGGGGGGGGATTAAAAGCACAATGACTATATATGTATACTTTTTTGTTCTCTTTTTTTTTTAAAAGGAGGAAGATATATGTCAAAATTAAATATGTATATTGAAAAGAAATTATAAACACCATCAACATAAAATGGAGCTCGGTCAGAAGCAGAAATACACCAAGTAAATGAAATGAAGAGTGAGAAGTAGAAGGGAGAGGTGGGGGAAGAGGAGGGATAGGAGAGAGGGCAGGGGGGAAGAGGAAGAGAGAAAGTAGGAGTGGAAAGGGGAGAGAGGAGAAGGAGAAAGGAAGGTGAAGTAGAGAAGGGAAGGATGATAGAGGGTAGGGAGGGGGAGGAGAGAGGGAGAAGAAAGTAATGGTAAGGTGAATTGATGTAGACATTTAATAATACAATATGATGTTGGCTATGTAATAATATACATGTGGTTATATATTATGAAAATGGAAAAATAAAAAACTTTAAAAAAATTAAAAAAAAAGAGAAAAAGAAACCAATTTCCATTTGGAAAAACAAATGCAATAAAGGAAAGGAAGACCAAGAGTGAAACACCAACTGATCTGCCATCTTGTATTCTCTTATTGGGCAGTTGAAGAGAACTTAGACTAGCAATTTGGAGAAATTGAACACAGGCAACTATGCCACTTGAGAGCATGTGAGCAACTTAAGGAGAAAATAAACATAAAACCTCATCCAAATTTTGTTTAAGATGCGAGATTTCAGCCAAAGAAAACATTAATGAAACCCAGCCCTACAATTCTGCTTGTATATATGCTAAAACCAAGGCACTTATTGAACAATACTAACCTAGCAGCAACGTAGAGGGTTCTGTCCATTATCATGAGCAACTGGATGTCAAGTCTGTGCCTTTGTGGAGTGTTGTGTCCTGGTTTGTGACCCACAAACACTGGATACTGTTTTGTATCTATGAAACGCAGAGAAGATTGAAAGAAAAGCAATAAAAAAAATAAGGACAGTGACAGACAGATCCCTATTGCTATAATTAACTTGGTTCTGATTAAAGTTAAATTGCACACAACAATCTAATTGATCACAGTCTTCTGATTTGTAAGAAAATCATTATCATTTCCCCCTTCAGAACATGATTATTCAATGACCCTTTAATCCCCTTATTCAGGGTGGTGTTGGCTGATGCCTGAATGGAACCGAGCATTTACTGGCCAGATGCCTTCCTGACGCCTATGCGGAGTTTGCAGCAGATATTTTTTCTTTGCACCCTGATAGAAAAACATCTGCCTAGGATTGAACTTTTAACTTTCCAAGTGGGAGCGAGTGGCTTCACCTCTAGGCCACCGTGCTTTTCCTTTCCTTAATGTTTGGAATGTTTGGAATGTTTATTTAATTTGTATGCTGCCCCACTCCCAAGGGACTCGGGGAGGCTAACAACCAAAGGTGGGAGGGGGGTACAAATAGGACAAAAGACAAACAAAGTAAAAACAACAACAACAGTCACAACCTTTCAAGTGGGGCTGGAAATCCATCAGTCCCAGGCCTGCCGGAACAACCAGGTCTTCATGGCTTTACGGAAAGCCTGGAGGGTGGTGAGGGTCCGGATCTCCACGGGGAGATCGTTCCAGAGGGCCGGAGCAGCCACAGAGAAGGCCCTCCCCTGGGGGTTTGCCAGTCGGCACTGGCTGGCAGATGGTATTCGGAGGAGGCCTAATCTGTGGGATCTAATCGGTCTTAGGGAGGTAATTGGCAGGAGGCGGTCTCTCATTCAGAACATGATGCCCTTCAGAAATGCTACATACTTCTCCCATCATCCTTGACAATTACCTATAGTACACAGGGCTGGTGACATTTGTAGTTCAACATATCTAGACCACCTATGTTAAGATAATTTCCTTTGGGGATTTCAATATTTAACACTTATAAGTAGCTTCCTTGTCAATCTTTGCAGCAATCTAAATAGTTAGAATTTAGCTTTGTGAAGTTGATGCTGTCCTGGAACTATCAATTTGTCCAATAGCCATACTGCCTTGTAAATAGAAGAAATGGACAGGACTACAGGCTGCTACAAGGGTAACAAACTAATTATATTTCTGGGAAGGATGAGACAGACTCATTCAATGAACTTTTAAATAATTTCAGTTTTGTACTAGTGAAGAGAATTTATTTTTATTTCCTTGGCAGACTGTCTTGTAAGGATTTCATTGGAAGTAAATTAAATTCTGTTTTACTTTATTATGTTACAAAATGTTTCAAGTGCCCTCAAATGGAGGCAAATCTTGTAAACCTTTAGAAGCAATAGATACTCTGTCCAATTCCATAGGTTTGTGTTCACATACTTTTTAAAGCTCAAGTACACGATGACAAAAATAGAGCCTTTTTGGCTACTAAAAAACCCAAAACAAACAAAAGCAAAAACGTTTGAATGACTGTTAATAATCCAAAATGCAAAGAGATAAATAAATAGAAGTAAAAGGGAGACTGATAAAATAAGAGAACTAAGGAAAATGACTTGCAGTTCAGTACCTTAGTACTCAATGTCAGAGAAAATAACCCTCAAACCCAGAAATCATGTCAAACTTACTAATCATGACTAATCATGACCACCCACTAAAACACTAGACCCAGTTTTCCACCATTCTTAGAGGAGAACAAGGCTTGTTTAGGTTTAATGCAGAAAACACTTATGTGCTTATTCTTCCTCCACTCATAAAATCCTAATCCCCTTCCAATACGTCTACTTCTCTATCTTCTTCCCTCTCCTTCTCCCTCCTCTCTCTGTATCTGTAGCTGAAGAATAATTTCATAAATCTGATTTAATGGATTTATTTCTTGTCCTTCTGCTTTAACCTTGAAGTACAGAATCCATACAGCAGAAAACTGAAATCAACATTACTAGGATGCATTTCTGTCTTTTATAACAGTGAAAAAGTTTTGGATTTGTTTTGGGTAATGCTGGTTAAATTTCAATGAAATGTTTATATCTGGAATTTGAATGAAATGTGGATGCAGGTACTTTCAGAAAGTTGATTTTCTTAATTTAAAATACAAGATCTCAGACTTCCATGTGGATTGTCTATGTTGAATGAGATGAGTTTGCGCCCTTCCCTCAATTGAAATTCAGTGGTCATATTTAAGGCTTGCACCACATACATTCTTATGGAGAACGCTTCAATCTTTAAACTCAAGAAAGCCCAGGACAATGATAATTTACATTTATTTTAGTTAGTCTACTGCATAGGTGCCCAACCTTTTGGCTTGCCTAGGCCACACTGAGAGAAGAGGAATTGTCTTGAGCTGCATAGAAAATATATAATAAAGTTACCATAATCTATATAAATAATATAATAATGTTAAAAGTTTATGATCTTGTGGGGCTACATTACTGGCTGTCCTGAGCCACTTGCCAGTCATCCAGACATACCTGGTCTACTGTGTGTTTAAAGGTCAATTAATGATTGTTTTTTTCAAAAAGAGATTTATATGCGTTTAGCCATGATGAAACAGAATCTTTTGAGAGCTAACTGCAACTTCTCTTGCATGTGTATCTAAGTAAGCAAACATTTTGGATCCTACATTTATTATTTTGTTTAACTACAGTACATCCCTATTAAATATTATGAACTATGAAATAGTTAGAAACTTTTCAGTGCATTCTAGTGGGGTTCTCATACTTAATTTATAGTATTTAAGGAGGAGGCTCTCAAGCTGTAGCACTTGTGATAGTGAAGTTCTACATTAATTAAGCCTTTTATAACCTACCTTTTTAAAGCTAAACATTGCAAATGCTCTCTTTCTGATCCATTTGCGTTCCAATAGGGAACAGAGTGGGATACTAACTTTCTTCTTCCAGGCAAGTTTTCACTTTTATATTCAAATGGAAACTATTTTGCTTTCTTTAGTTCTGTTTTACATTAGAATTGCAAAGGCGAAAGAAGTGATACATTTATTGCTACACAAGTGTGAATAAGTAAATAGCTAGATAGCAGTTTCGTTAAATGAATAATCTTTCAGTTCTGAACATTATGTTCAGAATTGTGCTGATTTGAATCAATAGCAAAGCTTAATTCTTCCTGTTTCGGGGAATGAAGTGCTTGTGTTTTGGCCATCTCATTTTGGCTATGAAAGAAATATTGCTTAATATTTTTCAAGAAAAAGATATGACTGGAAAGTTTAACATGAGAATCACATGGATAAGAACAAGATTTAGAGAAAAGAAATGATAACTAAGAGTTGTACATTTATAGACTGGGTCAGAACACAGTGGTTTTGTGAATTGTTTTGCATCAACAAATAGTGGTAGGGAATATGAAAAAATCTACTGTAGATGCCCAGCGAGGGTGCAACGGAAAGGATGTTTTTGCCCTGCTAATGCTGGCAGTCCTTAATCTTGCTTAGCAATAAGCTATGACCTGATATTGGGAAGGGAAGGAGGAAAAAAATATTCCAGCCTTTCATACTTACAGTTGCCATGCGAAATACTGATTGGCTCAGGATCTTCTGGGAAATCGGCCCCAGCAAAGTATAGCAGTGTGAAATATAGCAGCAAGGCTTCTGACCTCATAGTAGTTCAACTGGGAAACTAATCCTTCACTTCACCCTGTGAAAGACAAACAAGATAATGAAAGATCAATTGGTACTTAGATACTATAAACCAATCAACATTGATAACTTTAACATTGGTAACTTTTACTAGCATTTGTAGCAGTAGCAATAGCACATATATATCACTTCAGAGTGCTTTAGAACTCACTCTAAGCAGTTTACAGAGTCAAGATATTGCCCCCAACTATCTGGATCCTCATTTTACGAACCTGGGAAAGATGGAGGGCTGAGTCAACCTTGAGCTGGTGAGATTCGAGATGCCAAATTTCTGGCAGTTGGCACTACTGCATTCTAAGCACTACACCACCATGGCTCTGGGGTAACCCTTACTGGCAAGGGAATTCTGGGAGTTGAGGTCCTCATATATTAAAGTTTCCAAAACCACTGAGTAATAAAGGGGATTTTCCCCTGCCTTTTGGTTATACACAATAAAATGTTATATATATTCATTTTAAAAGAAAAAGAGTAGTCTGTCAATAAGCCATTAACACAGAGCAACAATGACATCTTCTTTGCCCCTAAAAGCTGCTATGAGCTACGAGACATGTTTTCTAACCCCCATGGGTGGTTTACTAGCCATAAGAAATGGATAGCCCTCTGAGGGTTAGCTCCCGTAGTTAGTTTCAAAAGTCAAGTTAGATCTAGTTATTACATTATGTAATGTATTAATTTTAAATAATTTGCTTAATTAAAAATATGTAAAGTGATGCCAGTAGAGAGGTTCATGGGAATGCAGAACCCATAGGATAAATCAGTATAGGACATTTATTCTATTCTGTTCCGTGCTCATTATTTTACAAAATTTCAAAATTTGATTTATGCAAAGGAAATGAAAGATTTGAAACTGAGACAGTTGCTCTATGCCAGGGATAGCTAACAAGGTAGAAAGAAGAACCTACCCACGTGCTGCCTATTATCTTGATTTTTGATTTCTATCATATCTATATCAATATTAATTTTAATTCTTTTATGTTCCTTTTTATCAATTTGTAAGTTGCCCACAGTCGCTTCAACAGTGAATTGAACACAATAATTTAATAAATAAACTGCCAGTGTGTCCTTTTGAAACTCTATGTAATATTCACACTTTTTCCTATGTCAAAACATGCATTAATAAGTTCTGCTTCATTTCAAAATGAAATTTCACAGCCAATACTGACTAATTTGTCCAGTTATAAATAGTGATTAATTCTGTGGTTCATCTTATATGCTTTTAAATTAAAACACCTAATGGAGTCAAGAAAAAGAGTTGAGTATTACTCAATATACTATGAAGAATCTTAAATTATGCAAATGAAATTATATTACTTTAATTGCTTGTATTTAACTGTACACATAATTTTAAAATTATTAATCTAGGAACACATGTAAAAGAGACACGTCAAAAGAGACTACATTTCTAGAGTCATTTACGTTCACATGAAAAGGAACCAGCTGCATGAACATACACAAAAGTCACCTATTCTTTGCAAGTAATTAAAAAAATTATTTATACTTAGGACTACAAAATCTGAGTTCCAAAAATTCAGATAACCACAAAAGGGCAGCAAGAAGCTATAGCCTTCTGAATTATTTTTTGCTGCCAACTAGAAGTGGTCTTGATTTCTGCAGCCCAAATTTGTAACCCTTTGTAAATCATGACTAACTCATAAGCAAGTTTTCAGTTTTGACATTACATCAGCAGACTCTCTTTCACGATTCATGCATTTTCAACTTTCCCAACCTAATGTCCCAAACTGATTAAAGTCACGTCTGAAAGTTTCAGGTTGAAGAAGAAAGATGTCTATCAAAGTGAGTAGAAAGTCATCTGTACTATATGTTTACTAATATATATATATATATATATAGTACATCAGGGGTGGGTTGCTGTCAATGTTGCTGCCAGTTCGCTTTATGTGAGCTTCACACAGCTGTGTGCACATGCACAGTTGCCTGTAAATTGTTCTGCGAATGTGCAGAACATGAAAAAATGACTAAAAAACAAGCTGGCAATGGCAGAGATGATGGGGAAACCGGTTCGGGTGTGTGGCCAGCCTGCCATCCCTACCAGTTCAGCAACCCAGTCCCAATTTCCACTACTGGTTCGCCCGAACCGGTAGCAACCCCCCCTCTCATAGTACAGTATATATTAATTGGCAGTTGCATAAATAGTGCCCTCCAAATCCCTGTTCAGAGATTCTAAGAATGAAGGAGCAGACCTTTGAATCGGGCTGCAATCCAAAAGAGACTTTACACTGTTTAGTTAAGTATGTGAAAAATACTGCCAGAGGTAATTTTGCCCCATAAATTAGATTATGCTTGATTTCTCACTACCTTTCATGCACAGTATGCTTTCACTCATTTACCAAACTATTTCACTTCCATTACAAAAATAATAGCTTTAGAATAAAAGTTAATGTGAGTGTTCATACTCATAGGGATATAGTAGAGGTAGATGGACTCTACCTAAATATTAGAACAATTGTTCTAATAAGGTCCATCTATCCATAGGCACAGAGTTCATTGCATTTATTTGAATTCTTTATGTCCTAAGAAATAATAAATTTATTTCTAAGAAATAAAATCAAATATGAAATGTCACACTACGATAGTTTTAAACTTTTTTGAGGTGACCTTGCAAACACATTTTAGGGTAACATTATTTTTTTAAATAATGTCTGTCTTTGGACAATTATAATGCTCTTCTGGGTATTGAATTGGGAAAAGGATGTTTATCCAAGGAAAATGAACAAGTCAATGTTTTAATTATAAACATTTTCACTCACAAGATTAATCTATTAATGAATATTAATTCCTATTAACAGGGAATATAAGGAGTTTCAAGAGAGAAGGAGAACCCTTTTATGTTGATTCTGTCATTCCATGAGCTACATAACTATATCAGAGGTGCATTCCTATCGGTTCGGATTGGTTCAGCCGAACCGGTAGTGGTTTTCCGGACTGGGTCACTGGAAGTCACTGGTTGGCAGGACATTCATATTGTAATGTTCTGGCATGCGCAGACCACGGGTGGGTTTCAACCGGTTCGTGGCGGTCCCTGCGAACCGGTTGGTCGGTGAACCCAGAAGTAAGTAACTTCCGGGAACGGCAAAGGGCGCACCCGCCCGCCCGCGCTCCTTACCTGGTTTTGACGAGTTCTGCGCTTCCACGCATGCGCAGGAGGCATACAGCGCCTGCGCGATCCTCCAGGAGCAGCTGGAGCATCGCACAGACGCTAGTACGCATGTGTGCGCTGCATGCGTGTGCTGCATGCGTGCGCTGCACGCATGCACGAGGACGCCGCCGGCCCCCCTTCCAACCGAACCGGTTGGAACAGGGCGAGAAACCCACCCCTGGAGCAGATCTATTTATGGACAACTGCACACACATGCAGAGCATGCACTAAATAGTGTGCGCACCGAACCGGCAGTAATGCCAGCAGCTACTATATGGTTAGGAGAATTTGAAGGTGGAATTTAATCTTTAAGTCTTAAAAAATAAAACAGAGCAAGCAGGCAGAACATGACTTCTAGAATTCTTTTGAATTCCTTAATAGCAGTTTGACTCTGAGGCACATTATGAAGGGGGAGGGGGCGATGAGGGCTTAACAATGGAACTGTTGGAAGCATTCCAGATTGTTGACCAAGAACCATAGCAATGCATTGAGGAAATTGCAGTATTTTCTGAACAGCCTTCAGTTTTAGGCCCATTTTCTGACTTGATCTTTTGTTTTTTCTGGCTTCTCCTCCTACACCAAACTTGATCCCATACCATTTTGATTTTGGAGAGTTATCCTGCTGACAGATAGATGATCAGACAAAGTCCTAAACATCTTTTCGTACATTATTCCAAGTATTTAGTTGGGTTGGGGAAAAAATAACTAGTCAGGGAAATGATGCAGAGCAGATCTATATTTTTCCCTACCCTTAAAATAGCTCAGCCTTTCTTTAGCTGTTTTCTTTTGTCATATCAAATTTGATTCCATTCTACTCAATTTCCAGAGAATTCTAATTTATTTCCAATGTCCTGTTGCACTGGGGAAAAATATTGGTGTGTGGTACAAACTACCTTTTTTCTCCTTACAGAAACTTCCTTGTTCTAGATAAACATGGCAAAGACATCTTGTATAGAAATTGTCATCCTCATCATTGTCATCCTCATTGCTTAATTTATTTGGAATCTTAATTAAAATGGAACCATTTAAGTTAAACTGTTTCAAACATTATGCAATTTGTATTACATATAATTTTCATTTAAGTGATGGCTTTCTTTTACAACCATTTGCAGTGATAAAACAGTAACTTTGTGGCCAATCCTCACAGTTATGACCTTCACTTCTCTGTAACACAAAGGAAAGCTGAGCTAAGATCATAAGCTCAGTCAAAGTTTCACTAAGTGACCACTTTGCTTATTAACCACGTCTCTGCTCCCAAAAGTAGCCACTAAACACAGACCACTTGTATTGTTATTATGTCAACTTTATTTACTTTCAATATTTATATATACCTCTGCCTCTCCTTTTATTAGTGTTCATGCTTAAAACATCTTTGTGTGAAGCAATCCTTTCAAGACAGACAAATGCAAAGAAACAAGAACGTTTGAAGAAATTGTTATTGCTAGCTGAAAGCCTGTTAAACCCATTTCCCAGCTCAATTTATACCTATCAGAGACTCTTTATCTGCTTTTCTCTCCCCTGAGATGAGATCTATCTTTTACAATGCCCTTGTTTCCTCCTCTGAATTCCCAGCGCTTGCTAGACATTTTGCACAGCATATATTTAATACCCCTTTCTAAAAATATATTTTATCTTAGTGGTGCAGTGGTTAGAATACAGTACTGTAGGCTAATTCTGCAACTGCCAGCAGTTCAATTTTCACTGGCTCAAAACTGACTCAGACTTCCATCCTTCTTGAGGTCAGTAAAATGATGACCCAGATTGTTGGGAACAATATACTGACTCTGTAAACGACTTCGAGAGTGCTGTAAAGCACTTGGCTACTGCTAGTGCTAATACTTCATGGTGGACTTTGGTTTAAAATTATGA